CCACCACAGAATTCGATCGCACCATGCTGGCGCACGCTGTTTCGGACTACCGGAAATTCTTTCTCTCAGTGGAAAAAAAAATCAAACTGTCCCCAAAAAATTCGTTCCTACCCGTCCAATTGATAGAATTAACGCCAGAATTAACTGGAAGTGTGCATTTAGGATCTACAGACTCACTGAAGGCATCACGTCATCGACAGTGTGCCGTGAACGAAGTCCTTTTCTCAAACTGTTTTAGGCTAAGCGAGGAAGGGGAAGCGAACCACTCCTTTTCATGTCCGAACGCAATGTGTTACCACTACATCACCGGCGCCTGCGCTCCAGTTTCAGCCTGGCAGCACATCTACTGTGTATCTGCCTTTTAAGGCAAGTACACTTCCGATTTCTTTTTTTCCTCTGTAGCGGCTTTTTGCCCCGCTTTTCGCAAGTTTTTCGCAACACAGCGGATCCCCACACTGCCCTACTAATCAATCAACTTGGCGATTTATAAGGTTCCCAAATAATTCTTTTTGGCGGGTTTAGCCATGAAATTAAGCGATGTACTACTTCAGGCCCAAGTAGGTGGTTCGAATTTGCCAACAAAAAACAAATCCTGCAATCATTTTTGATTTTAATGATAAGCTGATGCAGCCGTGCCTAACAAATCGCGCAACCAAACCATCAATGATCTGCTTAGGCAACTTCGGAAAAGAGGACTTCATTAGTGTGGGCTGCTGTGCATGACTTTCACTACCAGGGAAGGAATAAAATGTGTTGAACTGAGATGCTGATCAGCTAAATCACCAACCTACTATCCCAATCATAGGAATTCAAGTCATATTTGAAGGTTGGGCGAAAATCCAAAACTGCCGGTTCGTGGAAGTATTCAAATGCTAGTTTAAGCCGCATAACCTCTTTCAGCTAAAATTAAAGTTAATTAATCAGTCTGAAAGTAAAATTTTTCCATTAGCAAAAACTGGCATTTTCAAAGCGCACCATTTCTGTTGATGGCGAGAACAAGCATAACTCAGACTTGAACGCATCAGGCGGGCCGGTGCGATCATGCCTTTTTGCACTATTTCGTTCAATAGCAAGAGAGCACGGAATTACAGCAGCTAGAATATGTGACATATTGACCCTCGAAGTTCAGGAAGTTAATTGTGCAGCTATGCGGCATGTCAGTTGTAGATGTCGGCTTCAGTGACCGACAAATGGAAAGTTCCTAGTGTGCTTTTCGCGACCCCACTAGAAGAGTTAAATCTGAAATCTTTTAGTCGTACATGAGTAGGGAATATTCCATTAAAATTCTAGCCTTCCAGCTTTTCTCGTCCCCGAATTGGCAGTTTTCCCGCCAAAACCTCAACGTACCCTTGAAAGAGACACGGGCAGTTCTAAGGGACTGAATTTGAAGTTTTTTGGCCCTGTTCTTGTCACACAATCAGTTATTCGTAAAAAACTAAAGAAAAACTT